GTGGTGCGGAGGATCGAACCCGGGCCGCATGCATGCCAGGTGAGCACGCTACCGCTTGAGCCACATCCCCAGCCCTATACAGACAAATTTTAACAACTCCAGCTCAGGAAATGGGAGCCATCTCCAAAATACAGAATCAGGTCTTAAGAGCAGTATCAAAGCCAGAGTCCACAAGATAAAAAACAACATTTAAGGTTACAAATAACCAATATTCCATGAAAGAAAACTGCAAAAAGGAAAAAACATGGATTTCATTGTTAAGAACCCAGGATCTGTCTTCAGCTTTGTCAGTATTCAACCCATACAACTTCCCTGGGCAATATCAACCACTTTCATAGTTTCAACTGCCTGCTATGCTGATGCCTTCTAAATCTACTATTCTAGCCAGGACCACACCTGAGCCTCAAACCTAATTTCCCATATTCTCCATCAGAGTAAGATAGAAAGAAGATTGGTTCCGGAGCTAGATGACATAAGCACCAATGCTGATGAGCTATACAATTATAAGTAAGTTATTTAACTTGTTGGATACTTGATTTCCCCCTCTATAAAATGTTAAAGCTGGGTGCAGTGGTATACACAATTGGAAGGCTAAGGGAGAAAGATCGCCAAGTTAGAAGCCAGACTGGGCAATTTAGCAGCATTCAGTCTCAAAATAAAAAATGAAAAGGGCTGGCAATGTAGATCAGTCCTAGAATATCCTAGGTTCAGTCCCCAGTAGTGGAGGAAAATAAGGTAATAAATTATACCTTATAAAGAGGTGCCATAAGGATTCAAAATATAGGAAACCACCCAGACTTATTAAGATGACCTCAAAAGTACTCAGATATTTTCTAGAATGACCATCCTGACTTCTTAAAATTTATTTTTATTTTTTTAGTGGTCAATGGACCTTTAATTTTATTTTATTTATATGTGGTACTGAGAATTGAACCCTGTGCCTCACACATGCTAGGCAAGTGCTCTACCACTGAGCCACAACCCTAGCCCCCTATCCTGACTTTTAATGTAGTTCAAAGTCCTTAAAGCAATGAAAATTAAAGGAAATTCACCAGAAAACAGAAATCAGTGGGCTCCTCTTTTCAGATGCCTTAGTCACTTTGGCTCATAGAGAAAAATCCCCTGAAGGTAAACAATATAGCTTATTTTAAGTAGCTGACTTTTGAAATCTTATTATAAATAAATCTTTTAAATATATTTTTAAGATTACTTTTCTCATGGGCTGGGGTTGTGGTTCAGAGGAAGAGTGCTCACCTAGCATATGTGAGGCACTGGGTTCCATCCTCAGCACCACATAAAAAAATAATAATTTTTTTTTTAAAAAAGATTACTTTTCTCATCAAATTTTTGTTTGTTTGTTTGTTTTTTAGTACTGAGGATTGAATCTAGGGGTGCTCTACAATGAGCTACATCCCTAGCCTTTTCTTTTTTTTTTTTTTGAGACAGGGTCTTGCCAAGTTGCTGAGGCTGGTCTCAAACTTGCAGTCCTTCTGCCTCAGCCTCCTGACTTGACAGGATTATAGGCATGTGTCACTGTGCCTAGCTTTGTGATCAAGTTTCATTTTCTTTTTTCTAATTTTGAGGCAGGGCCTCACTAAGTTGCCTGGCTGGCCCCAAACTTGTGATCCTCCTGCCTTAGTTTCCTGAGTAGCTGGGATTACAGGTGTGGACCACCACATTTGGCTAATTTGTTTTGTTTTGGTTTTGGACAAATAAAATGGCAGGAAATTCCAGAAAGGCAGAACCAGTGGTTATTACAGTTTCTGAAGTCTCATAGCCAGGGCTCAAATCCCAGCTTGAAAACTCTAAGAAAGGTTAAAGTACCCACCTCCTAAAGATACCATGAGGATTAAACAAAAATAATGTGCATTAAAACACATTGCTCAGGGCTGGGGTCGTGGCTCAGTGGTAGAGCGCTTGCCTACGTGTGAGGCATTGGGTTTGATTCTCAGCACCACATATAAATAAATAAAATAAAGGTCCATCAAAAAAATAAAAAACATATTGCAGAGCTGGGGTTGTGGCTCAGCGGTAGAGTCCTTGCCTAGCATGGGTGAGGCCCTAGGTTCGAGCCTCAGCACCACATATAAATAAATAAAATAAAGGTCCATCAAAAAAATAAAAAACATATTGCAGAGCTGGGGTTGTGGCTCAGCGGTAGAGTCCTTGCCTAGCATGGGTGAGGCCCTAGGTTCGAGCCTCAGCACCACATAAAAATAAATAAGTAAAATAAAGGTATTGTGTCTAACTACAACGAAAAAATAATTTTTTTTTCAGTTTTCGGTGGACACAACATCTTTATTTTATTTTTATGTGGTGCTGAGGATCGAACCCAGCGCCCCACACATGCCAAGCGAGCCACTGCTTGAGCCTCATCCCCAGCCCCATTAAAAAAAAAAAAAATTGCACAGTGCTTCTTATAATGTGTTATTGCATTTACTGTTTACTTATTTATTTCCCTCTACTGAAATTCCACAAGAGCTGGACTGTGTCTTATTTGAATCACCAGTACCTAGCATAGAACCAGGCACATAATGTGCAGAGTGAATGAGCTCAGAACCTAACATCAAGTTTCCATTGGTAAGTTCCAAGTGAATGGAACAGATCAGTAGGGCTAAATGGTATATATCAGGAGCTTCCAGGGTCCATCCAGGATCTACTAAATGAGAAGAACAAGAATTAGGCCTACACACCTGTATTTTTTCTGATATTATTATTACTATTATTGTGGTGGTGGAGATAGAATTCAGGGCCTCCCACATGGTAGGAAAGCACTCTCTGAGCTATATCCCAAGCCCAGTGTATTTTTTAAAGAAATACTACAACTTTCTCTTTTTTTCTTTTCTTGTTTTGCTTTTTACTATGGGAACGTTTAAGCATACAAAAGAAGACTATTAGTAACTCCCATGTACTCATCACCCACAATCAAACAGCAATAGCCTGCCATCCTCCACAATTGACTCCTTTGTGCACCATAGGTTTAATCAGTGATGCTGGAATAGACAGTCATGCCTGAGGAACTTAGAAGGAGGAGAGTTCATCCAGCTCAGGGAAGGCTACACTGAAATGGTAGGATTTGAACTGGGTATCAAATGTACTAGACTTCAATGGAAGAAGAGGAAAGTAAAAACAACATTTCTGATCTAGAGAAAAGTAAAACCAAAGGAAGTCAGATCAGTTGCTACAGAAACCGATTCCTTTCAAATCCTTATATCATTTATTCCTCTAAACCCAAAGCACCTTTTTGAGCTGCTTACAACACACCCCTTTGCTATCAACTAACATTTAAAAAACCACTTCCCTGTAACACCTCTTTCTCCCCCAGACTGGTTTGCCCTCTTACCTTTTCATTTCTTTTTTGGTACCAGGGATTGAACCTAGGGTTGCTTAACCACTGAGCTACATCCCCGCCCTTTATATTTTATTTTGAGACAAGGTCTCGATAAATTGCTGAGAATGGCTTTGAACTTGAAAGCCTCCTGCCTCAGCCTCCGAGATGATGGGATTATAGGCATGAGCCACCATTCCCAGCTCCTCTCACCTTTTCAATGAGCATTGGTGGCACTAAGATTCTCTGACTTTCTAAGCTCAGACACTTGGGACCTATCTTGACTTTGAAGAGACTTCACTCTGCACTTCAATTCTTCAAATTTCAACCAATTCCATAGTTTGCTAATAACTTTACTATTGTTTCTGAATTGAATCCTCTTTTCCAGGGACTTTTCTCTTTATATTTGAATTACTACAATGATGCTGGCTGGTCTCTGTGCCTCTAACTACCCTGCTCACTGATAAGCTCTCCAAAAATCCCATCATCAGTACGTCACAATAACTTCCTACGCTGACTGACTTTTGACAAATAAATCAAAATAACTTTTTTAATGCTTAAAGTACTCAGTGACCTGTCCCATATATATCTTTCCATTTCTCAGGCTAACCCCTTTTCAACCTCTGCCAGCTCCAGAGAAATTTGTTTTTCAAAATTCTCCACGTACCCAGTTTCTTTGGACCTCTCTCTGCCTGCCTTATTACAAACCCCACAATCCCCTATGTCCCATGCATTATTTTGCCCACTTAAAAATTTACTAAAGCACTTATTATGAACCAGGCCTGAGCTAGGCATCTGGGACGTAAAAAATGACATTGCTCCTATCTGGTCCTTCATGAAAATTTCCTGAGTAAAATAGTCACCAAATGATACTTTAAAGCATCTCATTTCTCAAACAGCTTTGAAATACGCACATTTTTACTTGCTTAGATGCTTAGAATTGTTCTCTAGTTGTTCTGTGTTTTATCTTATAGCTTAAAAGTATCTTCAAAGTAGGATCTGTATCTTCTATACTTTGTTATAGCCCACAAAACCTTGTAAAACACTAAGCCATTTGTAAGTATTTTTTTAGTTATAGATGGATACATACCTTTATTTTATCTATTTATTTATTGGTGCTGAGGACTGAACCCAGTGCCTTACACATGTAGGAAAGTGCTCTACGACTGAGCCACAACCCCAAGTTGCCATTTGCAAGTATTAAAGAAATAAGCTACTAACTTAAGGTAATGATTATTAAACAGATCCTAGAGCTTATTAAAAATCTGAAAACCCAGGCATGGTGGCACACACTCGTAATCCCAGCAGCTCAGGAGGCTGAGGTAAGAGGATTGAGAGTTCAAAGTCAGCCTCAGCAACAGTGAGGTGCTAAGCAACTCAGTGAGACCCTGTCTTTAAATAAAATTCAAAATAGGGCTGGGGATGTGGCTCAGTGGTTGAGTGCCCCGAGTCAATCCCTGGTAACACCCCCACCCACAATAGAAAGAATCTGATAAAAAGCTTTTCCCTGGAAAAATAAACTTTTGAACCTAAACCCAAATTCTGCAATWGTATGGGGAAAGGAGAAAATCACAGAATTCCAAAGCCTATCCCCTGACAATGAACTCAACTCAAAAGACCCTAAAACTGGACTTGGGGTGTAGCTCAGAGGTACAGTGCTTGCCTACCACACACAAGGCCCTGGATTTAATTTTTAGCACTGCAAAAAACAACAACAACAACAACAAMAAMAAAAAAAAAAACCTAAAATCAAAAACTTAAAATGTTGGGGTTTTGTCATCTTTTATAATATTCAACCAAGAATGTTACATTTTAACTTTAAAAACCTTCATCTAATAAACAAATATCAAAATTTGAAGTATGCACATGCTTTGAACACAGCATATTTGTTTCTAGGAATCTAACAAAAATACTAGCACAAATGCAAAGATATATGAATAAAAAATATTATTAAAATGCACATTTGAAAGGGGATTGAACCCATGCTATGCACATGCTAAGAACATCCTCTACCACTGAGCTATGCCTCCAGCTGAACTATATATTTAAAATTGGCTTAGATGGTAAATGTATTTTACCATGATTTTTTTGTTATGGGTTTGATTCCCCACAGGAAAAATATTTTTTTTTTAAATAGTAAAAACAATAAAGTAGCTTTATATGTATTGTCATGGGATGACAGCCTGATCAAAGTGGGGGAAAATTGCAGGATGATATGCAAAACATTCAGGTTTTGTTTTTTAAAAACAAATATAATATAGAGGCAGGAGTATGTATGCTGTTTCAGTTTTACCTAGAAAGCCAAGACAGCTTGCACCTGGGGGACTCAGGTGTACCTATATAGAGATGTTTACAAATATCTCTACATAGATTCATCCACACTGGGGGCCGGGCATAAAGCTCAGCGGTAAAGTGCCTGCCTAGCATGCATGAGGCTCTGGATTCAATCCCGTACTGCAAAAAAGGAAGAGATAAAGAGAGAAAAACAACTGGAAGTGTTTGACAATAGACATCAGTGGGGACAAGTATCAGGAGCAAGTACTTTTGTTATGTCTTTTTATATTGTTTGACTTTTTTTTTTTTTTTAAATAAGAAACAAGGATTGCTTTTATAAATTAAACAGCCTCCATCCCTCTTTCCCACAAAAATTCAACCAGAAAATTTACTTAATTTCTTGTTTTAATTTCTGGCCTGTTTCTGAGGGAGTAAAGGCCATCTCCCTGCTGGGAACCCATTTCCCCAAGAGTCAGATGCTTCTGGAAGCTAAAAACATTGTAAAGGTAAAGGTTACTAAGATAGCAAGCTTCCCATGCCTTGTATTAAGTGAACAAAAATCAACAACATTTCCACAAATCTTCATGAAGTAGTCCTTTCTTTTTCATTCTCCTCTCCCTTGCTTGGGTATGTCACATGGGGTGATAGCAGCCCCAGGAAAGAAGGTAACCAACCTTATCTTAAGAGAAGACCTTGAAAACACACAGAGTGTATCCCAGGCTATACCCATGTTTCTTCTTTAACTGATTCAAGAAGTTGCTTTTAAATAGCTCATTAAAAGAAGAAAAATGACTTTTAGGCAAGATAGGAATCAATTACTACCTTTCTGGTAGAGAGGGAACAAGGGCTTTTCTCACCTGTCCAGAGAGCGGCCAGAAAACTCCTGGCTCTGGGCCACTGGGGAAAGGTAAAGATCCATATTCTCTTCTCCAAGTGTGCACGGAGATGATGCAGGCAGATAAACAGCTGTCCAGAGGTGAAGGGCTCGCACATGACAAACGGGATGCAGGACCTAGGGAGTGGCCCAATATTAGCATTTTGTAAGATATTCCTGGTCCCTTCTCCTTCCCTAAGCCTTTGGCTCTCTATTCTCCCCACTGACTCAGCCTCTTCACGCTACTGATTTCTAAGTTGCATTCACAGGAAAATGGCTTGGACTTACCATGTCTGAGCCGGGCGTATAAAGGAAGTTATGAAAGTTCTTATTGCCAGCTCACAGGAGCGCCCACACAGAGCATGTTCGCTTGTAGATATTGCGCTTCTCTCGCTCACAGGGGTTGTTCGCCAGGAATGTGCCATAGAGACAAGAGTACGTGTGCTGTACCAGTTTTACCAGGAATGCTTCATTAAATTCAAACACACAAGGGAACTGCTTAAGCAACTGATGAACAGAATYGAGCCACTGGAGAAACACAGGGCATTGTTCATTTTGGTCCTCTGCATTCTCCTGGTGGCCACAGCGGTCTCCAAACTTGTGCCCAAAATCCAGCCAGTCAGACTCCACTAACACTTGGAAGCCCTGCAAAGGAAACAGTCCAAGCATAGGGTCTCTCTGGAAAGGCTATTGTGCTACTTCCCAGGAGACTGCCCAAAGCAAGGAGCTGGTGCCTTCATAGAAGAACAAGACTGAACTAACGTCCTCTATCAAAAGATTCCCAAGACAGTTCCTCAGAACCCACCACCATCCCTCCTCCCTTATACCCGACCCCCTCTCAATACCTCCAATGTCCTGTAATACGGGTCCAGTAATATTTTGGCCAGGGCTACAATCTGCGGTGTCCGGTCCCAGCCGTCAGAGCAGTGCACCAGCACAGGCCGGCCTTCCCGGTCTACTGTATTAGCCACCAGCACAGCTGCTTTTAGCATCACTGACAAGTGCTGCAGCCATTTGGTACTTTCCAGTGCTGACAACCAGCTATGCAAGAACAGAAATGAAGCCCATCACTAAGGGTACTAGGGCTATCCACCACTCACAGACAGTTCAACCCAACAAAATCCCCAGTAAGAGCTGGAACCCAGAGGACCACCCACGGCCTTTTTGCTAAAAGTACCTAGCAAGAAGGTAAGGAAGACAGGACCTGAGGCAGAAAGGAGCCTCTTAGAATCTAAAAAGGAATTAGAAAGCATGACAAGCACATTTAGCCACTTTCTCTCCCCAGTTCTCTATGTTCTTTGAGTAGGACAACTGATCTAAACAAAAAGAATCCAATGTCCTGTGACAGTGCCAAAGTATTGGCTGAGAAGTAGTATTCTTGGAACTGGTCCACTGAACCCAATTCCACCTAGGCTCTGAGGTCTCCTGTACCTCCAAATTTCCCATCTCCTCAAAATCTTCCAAGAACAAAAAGTACTGAGTAAAGAATGAGACTGGAGGGATTTGCAATCACAGCAGGGAACACCTACTTGCTGGGATCTGGCATTTGGCTACACACAGCTCGGAGGTACTGGAAGCTGTTCCGGATGGCATGGATGTTGGCCATTCCCATAAACACGACCTCACAGTTGGGATAGTACTCTGTAGACATGAGAGGAGAGTGAAGCATAAAAGCAGATCCTGGAAATAGGCACCCAGGCACCGAGGTCAAAAGCAGTTCTAGTGGACAAACATCCCCAGCAGTGAAGAACACTCCAGATGGGAACCAAATATACTCTTGAAATCTGAATCAACTTTTATCTCTGGATTCTCTGGTGCTATATAGTACTAGTAATATTTTTTTTTTATTGATTGTTCAAAACATTACAGAGCTCATGATGTATCATCTTTCATACATTTGACTCAATTGGGTTTTGAACTCCCTTTTTTACCCCAAATACGGATTGCAGAATCACATCTGTTACATACTCACATTTTTACATAATGGCATATTAGTGACTGTTGTATTCTGCTACCTTTCCTATCCCCTACTATCCCCCCTCCCCTAGTACTAGTAATATTAATGACAGTAATACTAGTAAGAATGACAACATCTAGTAAATTCTCAAAAAATCTAGTAGCTTCTCTGTGCAACTAATTTTTATATATGCAGCCTCTAATCACCCTAAAAACTTTTGCAAGGTATATATTATTCGCATTTTACAGGTGATAAAATAAAATTTGATGAAGAACTTCAACACAACTATAGTAAATGGCAGAGTCCTAGTTCTAAGCAATTTTGTTTGTTTCTTTCCACTCCACAAGTTGCCCCCCAACCACATCTTCACCAAAGACCCCAAAACACAGGGTGCCTGCAGACACTGGGGTAACAGCAATACCTTCGCATTCACAACCTCCACCCTTGGCACGGTTAGCCACTGCTGCTGTGTAGGATCTCGCATCCAGGATCAGTAGCTTTTGAGGGGCTGCTGTGCTCTCCACCCCAGAACACGCAGTCAGAGAGGAATCTAAATACACATAAGGAAGAAGACTCAGGGTCAGCTAGACATCCAGCCTCACTCTGACTCTGGTACTCACTCTCAGAAGAGAGCAATGTGCAACTAGAAAACTACCCATCTCATACCCCAAAGCCTTCCAAAAGGCAGGGACCTAGACACTCTGTATCATCTTTCTCCCATCCTCTCACTAGAGGGGGCCTGTTGCCTGGGGTCTAGTAACACCTATGCCTTACCGAAGTCAGTGTCACATGCCTCGCTGGCATCATTATTCCCAGTGCTGAGAGGGCCCCCACTGGCCCTTGTCCCTGGGTCCAGGGCACAGGCTTTGGCAATGGATGTGACCAGGTACTCATCATCAGCATTCCGCCAGCCCCACCAACTGATCTCAGGCTGGCTGCAGCGGGCAATGGCAGCCCCATTGCGAAGGTGTCTGACGAAACAGAAAAAGAAAAAAAAAAAACATAATGCTCTTGGCATTCAATCCTCCAGAAGCCTACCACAGAGACCTCAAGGGTGCAAACCCAGGTCTCCAGAGCCAGCAGGGGCTACCAACTCATCTGGCCATGATAATAGCAACCAAAAGCTTTATCATCTCTAGAGAGCTTTACAGTTTACAAAGTGCTATCACACACATTTTCTCAAATGGGCTCTGTATTCCCAAGATGACCTTGACTCATCAAACCTGCACCAGGTACAGACATACAGCAAGAGAACAAGATCTGAGCCAAGAACATGAACAATTCTAAGCCTCATGATTACTACCTGTTTCACTCTATTTTAGTACAATGTTCTTGTGCAAGGGCCAGTAAACTTTTTCAGTAAAAATCCAGACAATTTTTGGCTTTGTAGGTCACAACCAGTCTGTTGTTATTCTTCTTTATGTTGTTTTAAATAACACTTTAAAGAATGTAAAAGCCATTCATGGCTCACAAGCTGTACATGAAACAGGCTGTAGGACAGATTTGGTCCACAGGCCAGTTGCAACTCCTGTATTAATGCAATACTTCATACACACACACACACACACACACACACATATGCACACACACGCACATGTATGCACATACATACACATTCTCTCTCAAAAATAAGTAAATAAATAAATAAAGTGAATAAATCCCCAAAGACTTATCCTTATAAGAAAAAATAAGGCAATTCTCATTTTTAAATTATTTCCGTCACTTCTCCAAAGCATATCCATTCCCAGCAGGCTGCCAAAAACCTCAGATTTTGTCTCTTTCCCCACTGAGTAAAAAAAAAAAAAAGCCTCCATTTTCCATCTCCCACTATCTCACCTGTACACAACCACAGGGATGCGCTTCCAGGAACGGAAAGAAGCCACATTCTCCAGCTCTTTATCTGTGATCCATACAGGAACCAGCAGCTTCTGGGGGTAACTGGGGCATAATTTGTAGTTGCTGTTGATATGTGAGACTCTCCAAACATTCTGCAGGTCAAAGCCCATCCTGACAAGCTCTGCCTCCTGCCGACATCGTATGTGATCTCCTGGCTGACACAGATGGGTATGCTGGTCCTCCTCAGTCAACCCCAGGCACCAGGCATGGTAGGCAAAGGCAAAGAGGTCCTCAGGTTTGGCAGGTCTTGCTGTGGCCCGGCTTAGCCTTGTGAGCCACTCTTGGCACTGCTTGAAAGTGGAGAAGTGGCACCTGCAGGGCAAGGGAAGAGGCAAGGGACAGATGTGCCCTGGGGGAGGGACAAGGGACACTGACCTGAACTCAAGAGAAGCTGTCTCTTGTGACAATTCCCAAGAACTTCTGTGTTTGAGACATACTTATCTCCTCTGGTGAGTCCCTACGTCAAATCTAGAAATTACCACATGGCCCTGAATCTCTGCACTCCCTGTTCCTACCCTACCAGTCAGTGCTATTTCCCATGACTCCCTAACACAAGCCTTCTGCTTCAGGCAGGACATCCTGTTCACATCACTCCTGCCTCCTTGTTCTTTCTCTTCTTCTGCTTGATAATGCCTTGTCTCTGCCTGTCTCTACTGACACTTTGAACATGGTTTTAGTGCCACTCCTTCCTTGAGTCCTTCCTAGCCTATCCTCTTCCAGATTCCTTCTTCTCTTGCATTTTAAGCACCTGGAATATTAAATATGGCTTTCCATAGCATACTGCTACATGTTAAGTCTTCCTTCAGAAACCAAACTTTAGCTTCTGTGAGGCAAAGGGCAAGGTGGATTCTTTCTGAATCTGCTCCAGATTTGAGCATATGGCAGGCCCTAAACCAAGCATCCTTCTAATACTCCTTGTAGCCATCTCAGTCACTTTTTTCTCCCATGACCCAATCTTTCAGCAAATCCTGTAACCTCTTCCTTTAAAATACACACAGAATCTGACGACCTCTCCGCATTTTGGCTGCCACCACCCTGGTTGGGACGCTACCATCTCTTGCCTAGATAATTGCAGTAACTTCCTAACTCACCTCCCAGTTTCTACCTTGCTTTGTTCCTGTTCTTTTCCATCTAGTCTCAATACAGCAGCCAGATGATTCCAAAAAACATTATTCAGATCACATCACTCCTTAGCTCAAATCCACCAGGGGTTTCCCAATTCTCTCAAAGTAGAAGTCAGTCATTGGGACTCTCTGCTTTGCTCTCAGACCTTATATTCCACCATCATCATCTCCATGCACTCCACTCCAGTCCACTGTCTCCTGCCATTGTTCTTGCAGTGTGCAGGCACAGGTATACACCCACCTCAGAGCCTTTGCAATCACTGTTTTTTCTGTCTGGCATACTCTTCCCTCAAATATCCACACATTCACTTTCTTCAGGTCTTGATTCAAGTCACCTTTTCTGATCACTTGTTTAAAGCTATCATCTTCATCCCCATAGCACTCCATGCTCCTTCCTTGCTTAATTTTTTTCCTTTATAGTTATCATTTATGCCAGAATCTCCCCACTAGAATATAAGCTCCATAAGGAAAAAAAAAATTATCTATTTGCTTTCTGTTTTATTTTTACTCCCTAAGATAGACTGGTCTGAAGTATTCAATAAGTGTATGTTAAATGAATAAACAGATGAATCAACAATAATGTGGAGTGCTCTGTACCAGGTATCATCCTAGTTGCTTTTATGTGCATTATCTCATTTAATCCTCATGATGACTCCATGAGCTAAATATTATCCCTATTTTTTCAGATCAAGACACTATAGGTCAGTAAACTGACCTTCCCAACTGAGCACAGTTTTTACCTTTTCCTCTAATGGGAAAAATAAAATAGTATCTTTCCTCTCTTGCTCAAAAGAAACTTGCAGCAGAGATGTCTGCACAAGACTAGGGTGAGGGGACCTAAGTAAGGTCCCATTGTTCTCACCTCACCACTTTGGAGTCCTTGCAGGCAATGTGCAATTGGAACATATCACGGCTCTCCACGCTGTCAATCATCCGGAGAGGTACCTTCAGAGGAAGGACAAACTGAGGTTCAGATCCCTCACCTCAGCACCACTCCTCAATCCCACTGTGTCCCAGATGCTGATGTATCATTGGAAGTAAGAAAACTGGCATTTATTGAGAAACTGTTAAGCGCCTTGTAACTATGCTGGATCCCTGACATATCTGGCCCCAATTCACAATTATAATAACCCTGCAAGGCAGATATTTTCACTCTATATTGTAAGGAGAAAAATCAAGGTGAGTTAGAAGACTTGTCGAAGGTCACACAGCTGGTAAGTGGCAGTACAGGAAAAGAGCTCAGGTTTAGCTAACCCCAAAGCCTGCACCTTGCCAACAATGCTCCTTCGAAGAACCAGCAAGAGTAAAACAAAGGGGGGAAAGGAAGAATGAGCCTGAGAGACAGAAAAATAGACTTACAACTAGGAGAAAGAGGTTGGTGACAAAGAGAAGGAACTCCAACTTGTTTTGGAGAAATAATCAGGTACAGCATTAGAACAATATCACGTTGAACCTCACAGGGAGTTAAACTTGGATGTGGGAAAACAAGACAAGAACTTACGTTGATGACAGAGTCCTTGAACTTGATATGCAGCCGGTAGTTAGAGATGGCAATGAGGGCATCGGCTGCCCSGCCCAGGAACTCCACTCCCTCTCCCTGAAGCACTGTGAAGGGTACCTGCCAAGGGGCAGAGGAACCCTCAGTCCATAATTGTGTTGCCCCTCATTCTCCTCTGTAGTCCCTGCTCTGTAGAATCTTCTGTGGCAAAACTGGACCAAGGCAGCAAAGGAGAATCCTCTCCACAGTCGATACCAAGTAACCGCTGCACAGGAAAGCTGCCTTTCCTTCTCTGAGGTCAAAGGCTCCATAATGTACACACAGACCCCTCAACACCACCCTATGACATCCCTTCAGAGAGCTGGAAGCCAGAGCTTCAGTATTAGAACCTCTTGGAGATTTTGAATGGGAAGAGAGGGTATGTTTCAACGAGTTAGAGAGCCCTACCCATCTAAGCCTCTAATTCCTCCTTACCTGAAGATTTTCCTCCTCCTTCACCAGTTCCTTGGGAGGGAACAGATCCTTGGCTTGGATATACTCCAGGCTGGGAGGCCCCTCCTCACCCTGTTGGAAGGCCAGAGCCGTGAGTTGCCAGGCTCAATTTGTCCCTTCAGACTCATTCATTCCCCTCCTCCCACTAATAAATCTACAGCCCCCCACACAAACACACATACTCGCTTCTTTTCTTTTTTGGGGGGTGGGGTGAGGGACTGAACCTCAGGTTGCTTTACCACTGAGCTAGATCCTCAGCCCTTTTATTTTTTGAGACAGGGTCTCACTAAGTTGCTGAAGCCAGCCTCGAGCTTGTGATCCTCCCGCCTCAGCCTCCTAAATCACTGGGATTATAAGCATGTGCCACAGTGCCTGGCTTTTCTCATTTTTTTCCCCTTCTTCTTCTAATGCCACTGGAGATTGAACCCAAGGGCACCCTACCACGAGCTACATCCGGAGACCTTTTTATTTTTTATATTGAGACAGGAGTCTCACTAAATTACCCAGGCTAACCTTGAACTTGTGATCTCCCTGCCTCAGCCTTCTGAGTAGCTGGGATTACAGGCAAGCACCACTGCCTCCAGCTCCCACACATGCTTCCAAAAGGTTCTGACATCCAAGGAGAGAAAGGAGACCTGGCTTAGTTGGAGGTGGGGAAGGGTAATATAGAGGGGGTACTCAAGCCTAGTAAGCGTAACTGGAGAGTGAGGGAAGCCAAGGAGGAACTCTCCTGTGGAATCAAAATTTCAAATGAAAGAGGGCAGAAAACAGCGGGGGGCGGGGGGGGGGACTAATGTAAGGATCAGACTAGGAGTGGGAAAGTGCTGTTCTGAGGAAAAGGAGCCAAGTGTGGCAGCTAACCTACAGCCACTGAAGCACCAACCTGGTGGGTGAAGGAGACAAAGAGGAACAGGTTGGGGGGATTCAGTGGCAAGCCTCTAGAGGGCCTTCAAGGAGCTTTCAAAAGGAGGATATGTTTTGGAGCTGAGTTTATCTTCCTGTTAGGCCCACACTGCTATCAAGCCCCCACTACCTGCCAAGAACCTGCCCAGCCTGCTGCTCTGAGGGGAATTCCTGAGGTATACCCATAGCAAGCAGAAGTTACTCCCCTCCTAACCACCAGGGAGGAGAAAAGAGGGGATCCACTACCTGGAGGAAGAAGACCCAAGGACAGCCAGGGGAGAGAAAGAAAGAAGGCCTGGCAGACACCCACGGGGGGGGGGGGGGGGGGGGGGGGTGTATGGGAACATCTGAGAGGACAGATGGGGGAAGCTGAGAAGGAGCATTAGCCAGAGGGGAGGAGGGGAAGACTAGGAATGATGCAGAGGTACAGAGCCCTGCAGTGGCAGGGAAGATGGAGAAAAGAGAGGTTGTCTGGGGGACAGTCAAGGAGAAAAGAATGGCATGTCAGGTGAAGGATAGGATTATGGAAGGGGGAGGGGACTGGAACCCAGGAGGCAGCTCGCAAACATCCTTTGCTCCCTGACCAGCCCCCTAACATCCCACACAGCCTACTAGCCACATCCCACATCCCCAAGAGAGGATGCAGCGGGTGGGACCAAGATGGAGAGGCGGAGGTAAAGGGATGTACCCCTGTAGGGCGGGGCCTGGAAATCTGCAGTCAAGGGCAGTGGCTGCAGGACTAGAATGGGCCATAGAATTTCTATCCTAGGCCTTCGATAAACCCCAGCATCCAAAGATTGAAGGAAGTCCAAGAAAGAAAAGGGCTAACCCTTCTCCCAATTCCCCAAACGTCCAGGTCGGGCCAGGGGCCTGAGGAAGGGGCAGGGTTGAAAATTAATATCCCAAAGGCTGGACCTGGGCGGGGCTGCGAGTGCAGCAATCCTTGGAGCCCCCCGGACGCCGCAGGCAGGGCTAACACTTACGAAGCAGCTAAGCATGGAGCAAGAGACGCGGGCGGTCAGGCTCATGGTCGCGGGCGGTCTGGGCCAGCGCACATGTCCCCGGAGCCGCTGCGCTGCCCGCCAGGCCCGGGCGCCCGCCGCATCCCGGCTGCGGGGCCTGCCAGGTGCAGCAGAGGCGGCCAGGAGCGAGCGGCTGGCGGCGGGGAACCGGCTAGGCTCCCGCGCGCCTCTCCCCTCCTGTCCACAATGGAGCGGGCCCAGCTCCGCCCTCCAGCACAAGCGCGGAAGGGAGGGGAGCAAGGCAAAGGGAGAGCCCCGGGATGGCGCCCGAAAGGCGGAGGCAGGGCGGGGCTGCTGTGCGGGGGCCCGCCCCCACCCAAGCTCCTCCCTTTCTGTAACCGCGTGGGAGGGCAACCCAGGGCCTTCTGGAGTCCCAGCAGAGCTACCGCCCAAGGCTGCCGGGGAGGTAGAAGAAAGCCCGCCTCTACCTTTTCATTTCAACCCACTCCTCTTTTATCATACAAGCTTCTCTCCGTCCTCCCCTCCTCCCTAGGTTCCCCCAACGCCAGCTCTGGATCCCAAGATGGACCTCACCAGTATCTCTATCCCATGCCCTTGCCATCCAGTTCAGTGCTTGTTCCTTCCCTCCAAAACTACCACCCACCATACCAGGTCCATCAGTGTCATCTTCCAATCCCCTGACCTCAAAAAATTCTTTTGGTTCCTTTAGAATGGATCCTACTCTAGTGCCAGGTTAGACATTCATAGTCCTGAAAGGAAGTCCTTTATGTTTTTTTATTTCATGGCCCTGCTCAACCCTACTCCTTCGACTCCATATCTCCCTTGTTTCACATCCTCTGATCTCTGGAAAGAAAATCCTTCTTGGAGAAAAAATTTCTTAGTCTGGGAAAGAGAAGAACTGGCATTACGGACCACAGAAGCTATACAGAAACAAAACTTGAAGCCCAGGGGTAGGGCTGGAAAAAATGGGTAAAGGTCCAAAGAATAACAAGTAATTGGGCTGGGGATGTGGCTCAAGCGGCAGCACGCTCGACTGGCATGCGTGCGGCCCGGGTTCCATCCTCAGCACCACATACAAACAAAGATGTTGTGTCTGCCAATAACTAACTAACTAACTAAATAAATATTAAAATTCTCTCTTTAAAAAACAAAAAAACAATAAGGGACTCAGTATCACTAACAGTCAGAAGGAGACGGCTGGAACCCCAAACTTTCTGTGTCTAGTAAATTTCAGAAAGTAGGGCTTTTGTTGTGGAGGAGGGGACAAACAGGAGAAAATCTGACATTTTAAGCATCTACTTATAGGTCAAGCTGTTTCAAACATTACCTCACTAAAACCTTTCAAACCTATAAGAAGTAAGCCTTACGGTGTTTTCAAGTGAGACTTCAGGCCTAGAGAAAAAGTATGTAATTAATCTAAAATAGGTTTACTGAGAAGAGACCAGACCAATATTTCACCCATCATAGATCCACATGTCTGTGGAAGGAAGGGAAGAAGGAGAGAGTCCTCTCACCAACTGAATGTATTAACTGTACCTAAGCATAGGGGACATCTGAAAGAAACTGAAAAGATGCAGTCAGGTTGAGGGCCTGGTCTGGCCTAGTACTCATTTCTCATCTCACTGCTTCCTCCTCCTAGCTCTCAGGATATAAGGAGTACCCTGAACTTGGGGTCAAAGAAGAGCAGGTGCAGTTAATGGGAAATTTACAGGACTAAACCCCTAGTGATTCATCATATTTTGGGTACCTTCAGGATGCCTTCCTACTATACATTCAGCCAGCTGTTGTCTGCAGTGGCTTAGCAGCAGCACTTAAGAGCTAAAAAAGCCCATGATTTTGGTAGAGTCATTTGACACAACACCCACACTATTCAAGGGGCCCACCAGAAGTCCAAGGGTTTTAAATATAGAAGGTATGGTTTTTAGACTGGAACACAGAGATTTACTAGAGACTCAAGAAAAGTAAGAGGAGAGCTGTTATGAAAGGCTAAGGAAGTCAGTGGTATATAGATAGTAAGGGGAAGGAATGACTTAGAACATGCAGAAAAAAACTTCTAGATATTTCTCATCCCAGTGTTTTATACTGCTTTCAATCTAAAAAACCCTGAGTTGGGGGTATAGCTCAGTGGTAGAGAACCTGCCTAGCATGGACAAGGCCCTCAAAAAAAGGTGAGGGAGGAAAAGAAAAGACAAGAAACCCTAATTTACCTCCAGTGCATATGAACATGTTTAGGAGCTGAATAAAGTAGCTTGGAGCTCAAAGTCCAAGAGAGGTGGGGTGGCTTCACAGAAACAGACACAAGGGTTACAGAAAACAATGATTTGAGGAAAGAAAGAGTACTCACCATTCTACCGTGGTGAGGGTCCTGGCTGACTGCTGTCACTATAAGGAAACAGAAGAATGTAAGGGTAAATAGCACCATTGATGTCACCATAGAATCAACAAAACCCACACATCTACCCTTAAATCTCTCTTCAACTCTTATTTTCCTCCCTTACAGAGGATCCAGCCTTTCACAAGTCACTATACCAGACAGAAACAATGGGAGCTACATGGAAAGAAAGCAACAAGTGATCCTGCAGAGTGTGAAGTCAGTCACAAAGTTCTGGAAGTGTCATCCAGACTTATTCAGCAGAACTCAAGAGTCCTGACTCCCAGACCAAGAAGTAGAACACTCCAACCCCTGTTCTTTGCAAGAGAACAGAAGAAATGCCAACTCTGAAGACACAAAAAATGTCCAATTAAGACTCACTTTTGGCCCTAGTGGGGGAATCCACAAGACTGTTCTGCCAGTCTGAGTCTGGGAGTAGCACCCACTTGACCTCCAGARTCCAGAGCAGAGGACAAGAGGGAATGGGCCACCACCTGTGATAAGAGAGCAATAGGGCTGGACAAGTCCTGCTGAGTGTACTTAACATCAAGTGAGGTGGAATCTATGGGGCAAAAGACCACAATCTGGGCAAAATCAGGCCAGTCGGGTCTTGGAGTCAGCATCTGTCTAGTGGGTCCAAGTAACGGGGATTTCAAGATGAGGCCTCCTAAACCCACTTAGGGAACCAGAGGTCCGCTGACTCCTTTTTGCCTGCTATACTCAGGGGCAATGCAGCAGAGTTCCGCAAAAGGCTGCAAGGATAAAAGCCTCCATCTGCGGTCCTGCCTGCCTCGGGGATCACAGTATTCTCTTCCCCAGCCCACCCTCCCTCATGGGGGAGCCCGCAAGCGGCAAGCCAGAGGTGCTGCCTCACCGCCCACTGGCACGCAGCCTCAGAGGAACGGAGAGAGACAAGGGGAAACAAGGACCAAGCCTAGAAGGCCCAGGGCTTCCGGACCTACGGAATAAGGTCCCCAGAGACAGGCCAGGCTGGCAGGGGATTCCAGGTGCCCAGGTTCTAGAGGTGGAGCCTAAAGACTCGGAGGCGGAGCCCGGAATGACAGAAGGCGGGACTCAAGAAAACCGGTGGGGGCCGGGGCGGGGCCCCAGCAAGACGTGGTCCCAGTTCCCAGGCTGGCAGTGCACAGGGCACAGTGACTCACCCAGGCGGTGTCCGCCCGACCCTCCAAGGCAAAGCTCTCACGACTTCCGTCTCCCGCAGCTGCTGAGGCCGCGCAGCTCGAACCCCACCACGGTGTCCCTTTACCCAGCCAATCGCATCTCTGGCCTGTGCCCGCCCTGGCCAATAGCCATGCCAAGTCCCGCCCTGCCCCCACCACGCAGCCGCCGCCCTCACTCTACATTCCCCTTATTGGTCAAATGGGCAGACGCCTTCCTAGCCTTTAACCTATCAGATGCCCAAAGATGAGACTGTACCTGGAGGGAGGAGGCGCGGCGCCAGAGTTCAGACGCGACCAATGGGAAATCACAGCGCGTCCCTGCGGCAGCCAATGAGAAAGCAGTAATAGAGAGCTCCTGACTCCTTAGAGGCCGGAAGTGGGGGCGGCTTGTCGCCTACCGGTAGCGCAAATGGGGGCGGTGCCTCGTAGGAGTGCTGGTCTTGTAGTCACTTCCGGTGATGACCCCGCCCTAGGGGTATCTCTGAAATATATCCCCGGTGGTGCCTTATTATGTCCAATCTTGTTTGGGTTTCGATGCGATTATCCAGTCCCAAAGCTGAAATGGGGCAGGGGGTGGAGGGGGAAGCGGGCTCGAGAGTGGGAAGGGCTGAAAGCCTGAATGAAGCTCGTTCTCCGACTGGTGGCTCTGGTTTTCCCTTTTCCTCTGTCTTGACAGGTTCCTCCAACACTTGTGCCGGCAGTCCTTAGTTCAGATCTCTTACCCGAGAGATAGAAAAACTGGATCTGAGGCAGCCACTAACTAGCTGCGGCCTCTTGTCCGTAAAGGAAGAGGGCAACAGGGCATTCCCAAGTACCTAACTCCCTCTCCCCTGGGAACACAGAGCAGTCAAGAAGGACGGAWGGTGGCCGCTGGAGGTCGCCGTGGCCTCGCGATACCACCAACAGAAATGGAGAACTGTCGATGCAGATTGCCAACAAAAATCCTCAACTCTGGAGTGGGCTTTGAATGTATAACACCAGGCAACCGGGCTAAAATATCTCCAAACGTCTTTGTTTACAGAGTATTGCAAACCCCCTCCCCTCCGGTATTGGGGATCAAAACCAGGAAATCATCGGAGCTCTCAAGACAGGTCTTGTGGTCCTGCCTCAGCCTCCGGAGTAGCTGGGATAACAGACGTGGCAACGGTTGCTCCCACCTAGAGCACTGGAACTTTTATTACAGTAAGTTCCAGGAAGACACGAACCTTATTTGTGTCCAATATTTTAACTCCAGGGTCTAGAACAGTGACTGTGGCCGAGCAGATGCTTAGTTTTTGAGTACTGAACTCCTCCAGGACAATGATGGTGCTTTTATTCACTCCCAGCGTTTATTATAGTATTTGGTGACTACAGGGCCTTCAGCATTTGTTCAGTGCTTTATCATAGGCTTCCTAGAGCTTAATTCTGCATGTCCCCTTTTCCAAGATGGGGGGAAATAGGAAGTCAGGAGGTTGAGTGCAGTTTATACATTATGTTTTCCCAAGGGCTGGTATCAAATCCAAAACTGCTATAGAATTGAGGTTACTGTATATAAGAAAGATACAGGCAGGCCCAGGCCCCAGATAGTACAGTAGGATAGATTCGATCATTAAGATGAAGAAGTCAGGCTATATTTTAAGCAGGGATTGAAATGGGAAAGGGAAATTTTCCCCTCTCTTCCTTCCCTACTACAAGCCACCAGCATCCCCCTCCATCAGGCTTTCAAACTGGGTCCTAGGATCTTGGTTTCCAAGAGGTGGTAAAGATGCAGACAGGGATACCAGAAGCCACATATAGATTTATTAAACTTTATTTCCTCTGAGTCTCTGGGGAGTCAGCAGGGATGTAAGGCGAAGTGGCAGTAGCTGCGGGAGCCTGAGCAGAGCTGGTGCTGGGAGGGCTGGCATGAGCATAAAGAAGAAATTTAAATATCCAGGACTGAAATCCAGTTAATGGGTCTCCTTCATCTGTCTTTGGATCTTGTGTAGCATCTCCTGCATCCGCCGCAGCTGGAACAGGCACATGCATCAAAATGGGGCCTTCTGGAGAGTCCCATGGTATTGGGGAAGTGTCCCCAAGTTCTAATCCTTTGAGTCAGGGCCTTGGTAGCTAGGACATATGATGGAAACTGGGCAGAACCACCAATCAATGTCCAAAATATGCACCAGAGCCAGGAAATCTTTCTTTTCCCAAACCAAGAGATACTGAGGTTTATGATTAAACAGGGGACTTCCCAGACTGTCGACCCCTTACCACCTCACACTGCTCTCACCTCTTCATCTTTCTCTCGGATTAGCTTCTCGGTTTCTGGATCTGTCCCTGGTGGAACAGCAGGGATGGGGAAATCGGTACCACTCTCACGAGTCAGTTTGCTAAGGGGAAGGGGAAAGGAGGGCTGGTAAGGCTAGGGGATCCCAGCACCAACTTAGGTTGAGCCCAGGGCCTGTAGAGGAATAAAGGAGGGGCTTGGTCTCATCCAAGGCTGCATTTGGGATCCCCCTGCTGGCTTCCAGTCATACTTGCGATTCCGTTCCTTCACCACCAGGCGGGTCATGCTCTGGATGCACTGTGCCCGGTAGTTCTCATAATGTGTCTCCCTGGTCACATCCTTCAGGTCCTGCATGTGGGTGCGCACCAGCATTGTCCTCAGCTTCACAAAGTCACAGTGCCCTGGGTTTTCCACTGCATAGCAAGGCTAGGAGTCAGCCAGGGGCATGTGTAGGGGAGAGATACTAAGTGAAGGAAATACCTTGGTCCCAAGCTCAGTGCTTTACCTTCTACAATGCCCCAGGGGTAGAGTCGGCCCCGAACTCGTCGCCCTCTGGCCTCTACCACAGTGTTGCTGCCAATTACCGCAAAGGGAATGCTTTCCTGAAAGAAGTTAGGGGAGAACCCCCTGTTCTCACCTGTTCCTTTCTACCTCTATCTTCATCTTCTCTGCTTCACTGTAGGAAGCCAGGGTCCTCCTCCTCCCCAGGAGCCTGTCCTTATATAAAAGTCTACTCTCTTCTTCTGCCCAAGAAAAAAAGATGGAAAAGGCATGCCCTGGGATGGCCCCACCTTTAGGGCTTGGTCCTGTAATTTGAAGTCCTCATCCTCATCAGAGTCACAATCTGGGAACTGATAGATCTTGATTCCAAAGTGCTCAATCTCCTCACGGATCTGGCAAATAGATGAGGAGCCCACAGTTCTGGGGACAGCATCTTTTCTAGAAGCCCACCTGCTTCCCTCCCCGCCCACCACCAGCTTCCCTCACTTTGCGTTTCTTGCGGTCCACTTCAGGAGGTGTCAGTGTGTCCGCCTTAGCCAAGATAGGCACGATGTTGACCCGCTGATGCAGGGCCTTCATGAATTCAACATCCAATGGCCGGAGCCTGGGGAACAGGAATCTGTGACCACCTGCTAGTGGTAGCCCTGCCCCTGATGCTCTTGGCCTGTTCCCTTGGCAGCACCCGGCGGTGCCAGGAGCCTCAGGCTTGGACCATACCCGTGGCCGTAGGGTGAGATGAAGTACAGGCAGCAGTGCACTCTGTTGTCTTGGATGTTCTTGCGGTTCAGGCCACTCTCATCTCGGAAATACTGCTCAAACTGCTGATCGATGTATTCTGCCACAGGCCTCCAGCTGGGGCAGGGACAGACAAGCAGAGAAACTGTGGGAGTGGGGGCTGCCTAGTGAGCTCTGGGATTGCAAAGAAGTAACCCTTTCCCCTAGTAGTGTTTTCAAGATATTGTTATTCTTTGGTTTGCCTTACTATACCTTCAGAGAGATTCCAGGGTGGGACAGGTGTGTATTTCACATGTCCTGATAGAAAATTTTATTGAGTATATAGGCAGAGTTCAATAAATACTAGTTTGATGAAAGAAAAGGGTGCGGGTGACCCAACAAAGCCSTAAGAACAGTAAGATGCTGGAGGCAAACATCAACTGGAAGCCAGGGAAGTCCTACGTCAGGCTAAACCCAGCCTCAGAGCCTTTGCTCATATGGTTCCCACTCTTTCCTCCACCTCTCCAAACCTGCTCCATCCTTAGAGGCTCTATCTAAGAACCACCTCTTCCATGAAGGCTCTTTTAACTATACCAATGCACACTGCTTTCCCCTCCACTACAAAGCTATATATTTACACAAAATGATGTTTCCATCGGTTTTGGATCCCACAGATTATGGCAGTCCCCAAGAGATTATAAAGGAGCTGAAAAATTGCCATCATATTATAGCACCAATGCATTACTCATGTGTTTGTGGTGATGCTGGTATAAACAAACCTACTGTGCTACTTAATAACAATATTGACTCTGTTACTGATTTATATATTTATTATACTATGCTTTTTATCATTATTTTAGTGTATGCCTTCTATTTATTAAAAAAAAAAAAAAAGACAGGGAATACAGCTCCTGGGAATACAGGTAGGATGCCTGCCTAGCATATGCAATGCTCTGAGTTTGATCCCAGCACAAAACAAGAGTTTGTTATAAAAAAAAGTTGCTGTGTTATGCCTCATAGATTCATGTTTTTAAGCATCGCTTGATTGCATCAGGAGGTCACATTGAGTGATCGACATATCACCTAGGTTCATGTAAGTATGTCCCATGATGTTTGCACAATGATAAAATTACCTGATGGACACATTTCTAAGAATGTATGTCCATAATAAAGTAATGCATGACTATATAAATATTTTTAAGAATTTCAATTTTGGCCTTCTATTATCTAGTGTAATTCTTACTCTCTGTACAGGTAGATATTATGCATTTTGACCATTGTCATTCTCGTTTTATATATAAAAAAATTAAATCCAAAGCAGCTAGGAGACTTGCTCTAGATCAGTTTGCTAGTAAATTCTCTACCCACCTGAGTCCCTGGCTTTCTGACTCCTAGATCAGTGTTTGCCATTATACATTGGCCTGACCCATTTACTGACTTTCATCTGATTGATACCTATGTTAGAGAACTGCTCCCCCATCTCAATCTTCCACCACTACCTACTAGACTGTACACCTCTCAGGCACAGGGACCATTCATATTTGTTCTGCATTTCTTAAAATGTTCAACACAGGCTAGGCACCTAGCATGTGTTTCATAAATTCCTACTGATTGACTAAATGAGTTTATTAAGGTACACTATAGGGCTTGGGCTGTAGCTCAGTGGCAGAGCGTTTGCCTAGCATCTGTGAGGCACTGGGTTCAATCCTTAGCACCACATAAAAACAAACAAAATAAAGACATTCTGTCCTTCTACAAGTACAAAAAAAAATTTAAGTTACACTATAAACTGTGATATGGAGATTTTATTATTATTGCAATTGAAGTTATTACCAATATTATCATGGAAGGTAAATAGACTAAAGGAGAAAGCAGTTCTTGCTACAGTAAGAAGCAGGTACTGGTTGGTACTAGAATTTCAAGACAAGTGGTTTGCTGAGACATACTGCTAGAGTGGGAAGGATGACGACAATATGGAAATCACTTAACCCCACCAGGAATAAGACCATGTCCCATGAAGTAGCTTAGTGCTATGGAAAAATATAAGAAACAGCTTTCCCTCAAGGCTTATGAAGTTGAAAAGGAATTGGTTAGCTGGGCTTAAAGTAATGATATGTAGTGATGAAGCACATAATGGGGGGTTCACAGCACAGAAAGGTCTACTAGAGTCTGTGAGGTGTGGGACCTGTGTAGTCACATAGGGACCTGCACTTAGAAGGGTTGATTTGATGTTCTGCTGTTACTATCTTGAAATCCTTAATAATTTTGAACAACAGGCCCTATAATTGGTTCTTCGATGATCATTACAAAATTTGGTGAGTATGAGTAGCCCTTTACAGTTTCCAATGCACAGGCATCATTCTGGGATGATTATCAGATCAACTGGTTAAGGTGATAAGGGAAGGTATTTTTCTATTTTTTTTTAAATTTCTTTAGTTATAGATGGACACGATGTCTTTATTTTACTTTATGTGGTACTGAGGATSGAACCCAGTGATTCACACATGCTAGGCGCACGCTCTGCCTCTGAGCCCCAGCCTCAGCCCTTAATTTTTAATTTTTAAAAAAACTTTTAAAAATCCCCACTGAACCCTGGTGTGCTTTACCATTGAGCTACATCCCCTGCCCTTTTTATTTTGAGATAGGTTCTCACTAAGTTGCTCTGGCTGGCCTTGAACTTGCCATCTTCCTGATTCCTGAGTAGCTGGGATTATAGGGGTGCATCACTGTACCAAGAAAGACTAGTATTTTCCAACTTTAAGAAATAAGAATGCAGCCATGCTCAAGATCATGCAAGATTTGAATTGTGAGTCTAGGGCTCCAAGTACCACCTGCCTAACTTTGTTAAAGGTACCACCTTTTCTTTCTTTCTTTCTTTTTAAATTATTCTCATCTACTCACGTACATCTGACCATTACCTCAGCTTCTCTCCAGTTCACAAAAAAAATAGCTAGGAATGGTGAAGTGTGCATGTGTGTGTGTGTGTGACAAAACTACCTTTTCTTCTGGCAGAGAACCTGGATGGTGCCTGGTAAACAAAGTTCTACCCATTTATTTCGTGTTGCCTCTCCTTCCCTTCAGCCCTCCCTCCGTGCTCCTCCATACCCCTCCCTTTCAACAAGACCTTGCATCTAAAAGAAAGATGTTTATTGAGCACCCACTGTGTCAGGCCTTGTGCTTCATGTTTACTTTTTTTGAGGCTCTTCTTTTTTATCTTCTTTTCCCACCGCCATTATAGAATTATGGGTCAGAGTTGAATGTTAGAAATCATCTATTCCAACCCTTTCCCTCTCATTTTACAGAGAAGAAGACAATTATCCAGTAAGGGGAGTGATATGCTTAAGGTCACAAAACCCTCCCTCTCTCCTGACAGGTGTGGCTGTGTGTGCACCTGTGTGTGTTTGCGAAGTTAGTGATGGGTCAGGGGCAGCTGGGGTTGTTTTTGGTTAAACATACCACTCTGTGTTGTTGACTGCATCCCCAAAACCTGGTGTGTCCACAATGGTAAGCCGCAGCCTCACACCCTTCTCTTCTATATCCACGGCATGCTTAGTGATCTCCACGGTTTGCATGATCCGTTCTGAAGAAGGGGGAAACTGAGGCAAGGGCAAGGGCAGGGACCTTCCCAGTCAGCACAAACTACCCACCCCAGTCAGCTTTGCTGCCCAGACTGCCTCATCCACTTTGCCCCCCTTCCCACCCACAGGCTGCCTAAGGGCCTGTTCTCTGGGAACCAGCAAGGAGCACATTTCCCAACACAGGAAATGCCGGTGGCTGTTGGCTCTGGCCCCAGCCTTTCCTCTGCTCCCGGCCTTTTTGGATTCCTGGAATCCTTTGGGGGTCAGAGTCTCATTCAAAGAGCAGGATTCTGATCCCTGCCCTGCTTCAGCACCCAAATCTTTAGGGAGCTGGTTGGTGGGATGCCAGGCCAGACAGGCCTTTGGAGGGATGTTGTCAATCTCTCTAGGAGGTCATGGTTTCCGGCATGCTGGGAAGGGCCCCATTCCCTCATCCCCACCCCCGACTCTGTAGTGACTTTAACATCCCAAGACAGGTCTCTCTGCCTGTCTTTATGCTCCTCTCTTTTCCTTACCTTCAGCACTGAGGAGTTTCCGGTCCCGGTATAGATCAGTGAGGAAGAGACTATTGACAAGAGTGGATTTACCCAGGCCAGACTCTCCTGACAGGAGAGAGGACAGAGGCACCAAATCAGAAGGTAAGATCTGTAGCCAAAGGGCAGCTCCACTGGATCAAGGTTTGGTGGGAAAACTGTTTTCTTATCAATCAGGACTAGACTAACCAAACCATGGCATTTTAGAGTTACAAGGAAGCAGAGATCAGCTCATCCAGCTGTCTCATTTGAATGAAGAGAGGCAACAGACTGCCCAAGGTCACACAGAAGGAGCCTACACTACAAAACTCTGGCACTACTTCATTCCCCCCAACATATACATATTTTTGGCCACCAAAGACTCCTAGCTATTTTGCAAAGACTCAGGCATTTGCTGCTTGCTCCTTCTTCTTTACCCATGCCCCTTTATCTATCTATCTCTCTCTCTCTCTCTCTCTCTCTCTCTCTCTC